AATGGGAAAACTAGTAACAAAATTGGCTGAGCATTTAATTTAGAACAACGTAGCTAGTTCTGTTTCAATTTTCAAAAATCTTAGTTTATGAACAAAAAAAATCTATTCTAAACCATATTTGATTTCAACCTATAAATTGTGACAAAAAAGAAGTTTAAAACTAAAATTTGTTTTTTTCAAAAAAAACAAAAAACTAAAATTTGTACAACTCAACCAGCTTAGTTGCACCGCTACTCAGTCTGGCTTCCAGCGAACTTCTCTTTATAAAGTTTCACTTCTTCATTTATCTGTGATCATATCATTTCACAAAATATTTATTCAAATGCTACACACCAAAAGCCTGGCTTAATTTGTATTGGATAAAATCAAAGAGAGCTATATGTTACCAATTCCTTGAACAAAGGTTGAGGTGTGCCTATCCTGTGGCTAGGAGGCAGAATCTCCCAAGGTCTACATGCTTGTAATACCTCTCCTCTCTCGTGAGAGAATGAAAAATGTGGAGGCGGCAGATTTAGCTGTTTAAATACCTACAAAACATGCAAAGAGACAATGGTTGGCATTTCTTACTAAATCTCACTGTTTTTGAATCAAATCAAACGTACCTCGCGAGAAAAAGATGGCATGAAAGGTTCCAACAATTGTGCAAGAAGGTGTGTTAATCCAACAGCACTTCTTATAACAACTGCACAACAAGGTTTATCTTCCTTGTAAAGTCTCCAATATTGGGTTTCCTACCAGAAACAAGAAACAAAAAAGTCGGTTTGATTGAACAAAAGCTATATTTGTTGTTAATGAGTTGAGAGAATATAATTTGCCTGCAAGTATATGTTCCCTTCTTCCGAAATGCGCATAGCAGTTTTCAGCCCCTGCTTGAGCTTAACCTGCATCAAAGGAACAAAAACATTTATCAACATTAACAACATAAGAGTAGCAATTACCAGACCAAATTTCATATAATATTTTCTCACCTTTCCCATGGCTTCAACATACTCCTTCACCAATTTTCCAACCTTCTTACACAGTGACATCGTTGGAAGATGAGAGTCAGCTCCAGGAGCATCGGGAATTACAAAGCCATAACCTACAAATCAGTTGTAATACATCAGAAACAGAGATGCAAGTTTTTCGTATATTTTAAGTGTTGTTACTGTTTCTATGAGGATTTGGAAAGAAAGAACCAACCTTGAGACTCAGGCTTTGCGATAAAACACTGAACTCGATTAACAAAGTTGCCAAGGTTGGTCAGCAACTTGTTATTCAGGTTTCTTTGCAAATCCTTCCACTCAAATGACGTCGCAGACACCTAGATCATGGCATCAATCCCCTGAATAATCAGTGTTGGTGACATCTACACACTTATGTATGCCTCAAGTAAAGAATATATTTCCATTTGTGTAGCAACAATTAGTAGTTACCTCAGGCCTATTGATGAGCAAGTAGTATCTCCATACTTCGACAGGGATATTTGTATCTCTTACAACATTACCAAACACTCCAACACCTTTACTCTTGGAGAAATATCCTGAAAACACATATACAAGTATACATTTCTATAAATGGCAGAAAAAGCAAAAGCAAACAATGGTGAAACATCAACTGACCGTCTTCGTAGTTTAAATATTCAGTCACACTGATTGTCTTCATCATTGTCCAATTTTCACCAGTTCCAAGTTGCATAGAGGGAAACAACACCTGCAGAACAAAAGCTAAAACCATTGATGCTCTATTTCAGAGAAAAAGATGAAGACAGAGGAAACAGATAAAACCATTGGAACAAGTCATTGACGCGGTAAACAAATTTTCTGATATATATACTCACAGTGTGAAATGGCACATTGTCTTTCCCTATAAACTGACAAAGCTCCACATTCTCAGGATTCTTCCACCACTTGTCCCATTCAGATGGGTAGCATGAGGTTATCGAGACGTATCAAATCAGAGCATCAAACCAACCGTGAAAGACCTATATATATATAACCACGATTCGAATTAGTAGTTGATACGCTTATGAGATTGGCTTGCAGTAATGAATGATGATGGTCCTACTTTATCCTCGTAATTCTCATGTGGGACAGGGACTCCCCACCTTAGATCCCTTGTAATGCTTCTGTTTACAAGCCCTTGTTCAAGCCATGTGTTTGTCGTTTGAATAGTATTTTGACTCCAAGAACCAGTAACACTCTCGTTAAAATACTTTTCAAACTTATCCTTTAGATCCGAAAACTCAATAACCAATTCGTCTGCGTTGCGAGCTCGTGGTATGGTTTGACAGACCTGTTTGAGAGATAAAAAAAGCATAAGCTAGTATTCACTATAATTATAATAACAGAACCTCTTTAATGAAAAGGAGAAGCACATAGCTCACCTTGCACCATGGATCTCTGAGATAAGTAGGATTGATGAGATCATTTTCACATTCTTCGCACTCATCTCCGCGAGCAGAATCATTATCACATCCTTCAAATGGACATGAACCCTCGATAAGCCGGTCAGGTAAGAACCTCTCGCATGTATCGCAGTAAAGCTGAAGACACAAATACTTGAGACTTAAAACCTGAATGGTTTGGATGCTCTTGGTATCAAACCAAGGCTAAGAAGCATAATTTTGAGTAAAAGCAAGCATTGACCTGCTGCATGGTGTCCTCTTTAAGCCGATTGTTTTCCCACAACTTGTTGAAAATTTCTTGGGAGATTTGTGTGTGTTGTGGAGTTGAAGTTCTCCCAAACTTGTCAAAACTTATATCAAACCACTCATAAATTTCTTTATGAATTGTATGATAACTAAATGCACAAAGAAAATAAAGAAACTCTTAAAACTATTCTTGAAAATCTGAGAAAACTTGTGTGTATATATACAATTAAGATTCAGATAGATTCTATATACTTATAGTCAGTAGAACCACAAAAATACGAAATTAAGAAACAATACATGTCACATATATCTCCCTGGGTATGCAATTCTGCTCAAGAGCTTTGGTCTCAGTAGCAGTACCATATTCATCAGTTCCACATACATAAATCGCATTATAGCCACGAAGACGACAAAATCTAGCATACACATCAGCACTTAGAACACCTGTAAGAAAGAAAAAAATACTATCACAAATAAGAAAACCTCAGTGAAGTCGTGTGTGATTTTCCTCTGTTTTATCTACTCGTCCACGTAAACTAGTTGTAACAACTTTTGGAAATTGGAATACAAAATCAGATTCTGATGATTTTCAAAATCAGATAAAATAAAGCGTTATATAAACTGAGAGAGGAAAGGATTTTAGTTACATCCAATGATGCTTCCGAGATGAGGAACGTTATTGACTTTAGGCAGAGCACTTGTGATTAGTATATTTCTTTTGCCATGGATTGGCAACTTCGGGCTGCTCTGGTTGTCTTCTTCCATGGCGAAACAACAAGAGCACAATCTAATTAGGCTTTTCTTCTAACACTCGGAAGATAAGAGAAACATGTTTGAGAAGCAAAAATAACAGAGATTCCTAAGTCAAGTAAACTTGGGGACTAAGTTATTGCAAAAAAACCCTAAAGATTTCTTTTCACGTATAAGAACCCTAACCCATCAATTAATCAAAGTTTCTTTTGATTTTCTTGTGCTATTTTCCTATGTTTTGTACCTATATCATGTATAGTGTATTGGTAAGAATTTGTGTTAGTATATAAATATCTTTTTTACATTCATTAACACATGCTAATATCATATTGTTAATTATCAATTTGGGTGTGAAAATTTGTTTTAAAACAAAAATTCTTTTAATTTGGCATTGATTTTAAATAAATATTTTTAGGTTTTGCGAATTTATTATTATATTCTTTTATTACAATATAGCTCCATCCAATTTTCAAACATATTCTAACTATAATCGTGCAACGCATAGATCAATATATTTACTTTTGTCATTTTTTTTGTAAGACACTAATATAATTATAGAAAGTTGTTATGAATAAGAGGAAAAAAGAAGGAATTAGGTT